ATCAGGCAGGCACACGTCTTGCAGGTGTGGTATTCTTTCTTTTGATGGTTTTTTGGTGAGGTGAAACATTTTGTGCACCTAATTCGCTGGAATTTGACAGCTGTTTTATGCCATTGGGGCAAGACTTGACCACGGTCCCGGTGCAGGGAATCATCGCACGACCTTTAGGCAATTAGGGACTGAATCCTGTTTTTGTTTTTGTTTTTCACTAACTAGTTCCCCATTGGTCCCCTATCTCATGCTTTCTTCCCTCCCCAGGTAGGTTGGCTCCGTCGCGTGCTGAGGTTTTTGTAGGTTTTCGCTGTGTCAGGTTGGTTCAGGCGCTTCCGTCTTCCCCCCCCTCCGTTGGTCTTGGTCCGTGTCCGTCGACCCTCCGCTTTTTCTTTTCCCTTGCCTTTTCAGGGTTCGCCCGTTCCGGGCTAGGTGTGTTGGTGTGTGTTTTCTCCTTCCCTCTTCTTTTGCGTTCCCCTCTTCGCGTCCTGGTTAAGTAACTTTCATCTCATTTGCACTCTCATCTCATCTTTCATCCCCTGTTCATCCTCATCTTCATCTCATGTTTACGCGCACCACCCTGGAGGCAGGGTGTGTGTGTGTACCGTCTGAATAGACGTAAAACTTCTTATACTTTATATATCTATATGCGGGGGATCACCGGGGTCCCGGGGGGGTCGGTGATCAACGAAGACACCTCCCCGGGACCCGTGTAAACGTACCCGCGGGACTGTGGTGACGCACCTGGGCGCAATTGTAAGACGCAGCTGGTGGTCACCATAGTCCCATATATATATATACTCATCCTTATCTAAGTAACTAATCTAATATGCATGTCACAGGACTCAGTTCCTGCCGGATCATATAATGATCCATTCTTGTCTAGTGTGTGTGTGTGAGTGAGTGAGTGAGTGAGTGAGTGAGTGAGTGAGTGAGTGGGTGGGTGGGTGGGTGGGTGAGTGGATGAGTGAGTGAGTGAGTGGGTGGGTGGCAAAAGAGGCGGAGCCCAAGGGGCCAGGGCGTACATCCGACCCCTTGGCAATGCACATTGTCCCACGCCTGCCACGCAAAAGAAGCGGAGCCCAAGGGACGCCAGGGCGTACATCCGACCCCTTGGCAGTGCACATTGTCCCACGCCTGCCACGCAAAAGAGGCGGAGCCCAAGGGACGCCAGGGCGTACATCCGACACCTTGGCAGTGCACATTGTCCCACGCCTCCCACGCAAAAGAGGCGGAGCCCAAGGACGCCAGGGCGTACATCCGACCCCTTGGCAGTGCACATTGTCCCACGCCTGCCACGCAAAAGAGGCGGAGCCCAAGGGACGCCAGGACGTACATCCGACACCTTGGCAGTGCACATTGTCCGCCGCCTGCCACGCAAAAGAGGCGGAGCCCAAGGGACGCCAGGGCGTACATCCGACCCCTTTGGAGTGCACATTGTCCCATGCCTGCCACGCAAAAGAGGCGGAGCCCAAGGGACGCCAGGGCGTACACCCGACCCCTTGGCAGTGCACACTGTCCCACGCCTGCCACGCAAGAGGCGGAGCTCAAGGGACACCAGGGCGTACATCCGACCCCTTGGTAGTGCACATTGTCCCACACCTGCCACGCAAAAGGGGCGGAGCCCAAGGGACGCCAGGGCGTACATCCGACCCCTTGGCAATGCACATTGTCCCACGCCTGCCACCTTGGCAATGCACATTGTCCCACGCCTGCCACGCAAAAGAGGCGGAGCCCAAGGGACGCCAGGGCGTACATCCGACCCCTTTGGAGTGCACATTGTCCCACGCCTGCCACGCAAAAGAGGCGGAGCCCAAGGGACGCCAGGGCGTACATCCGACCCCTTGGCAGTGCACATTGTCCCACACCTGCCACGCAGGCGCGAGCGAGTGAGTGAGTGAGTGAGTGAGTGACTGAGTGAGTGAGTGAGTGAGTGGGTGAGTGAGTGTAGTGAGGGAGCTGCGTGGGTGTTTTAGCGATTGAAGTGAGTGAGTGAGGGGAGTGAGTGAGTGAGTGGAAGTGTGTGTGTTGTGTTAATTGAAGATGAGTGCAAGGGGCAAGTGGGTGAGTGGAGTGAGTGAGTGAGTGCACGAGTGATTGCGTTATGGAGTGAGTGAGTGGGAGTGGGTGAGCGAGCGGCGATCGAGTGAGTGAGTGAGTGAGTGAGTGTGTGTGAGTGAGTGAGTGAGTGAGTGAGTGTGAGTGAGTGAGTGAGCGAGCGAGCGAGCGAGCGAGCGAGTGAGTGAGTGACTGAGTGTGAGTGAGTGAGTGAGTGAGTGAGTGAGTGAGTGAGTGACTGAGTGAGTGAGTGAGTGAGTGAGAGAGGAGGACGGGAGGCGGAGGAGGAAGGCGGATGCAGAACTAAAAACAAAAACCCCACACGTCAATGTGGGGAAAAATAAAGTCAAGAAATCCAATGCACGCCCCATGTCAAAACTTCCCGAAATAACCTCGCCCCCGTCTGTACTTCAAAATCAATGAAGTAAAAGTGAATTCAAAATGTTTTCAATTCCTAACAGCCGTGCAATGTTGACATCAATCCGCACAAACCTAACCTGCCTACATCAAGTGCAAAACAAAAGAAAAACAATCAAGCAAACGACATGTAACTATCCCCCAAGTTGCAAAACATGTTCACAAGACTTTGAAACGTCTCCAGATCTCCCCAGGCGGTTTGCGCCGGGGCGTGAAGACATCTTCTTTCGAAACGATCCAGGTGCCTCACTTCTGAGGGCACCCATCATTCTTGTGGCCAGGCGACAAGCAGTGCTGGCACTTGTGAGCCCTCTTCACCCGGCCCTTGCATTCACCGCCGACTACAACGTCAGCGCAAGGCCCCTTGCCTTGAGCCCAGCTGAAACAAATTTCAGCTCCACCCTTGTCCTTCGATTTCCCTTTTCCACCGGCTTTTCCTCCAGCATGTCCATGACCGTCCTTTTGATGTCGAAGTTTGAGAAGCTCGTCCCTCTCGTCCTGCAATCTTCTCTTCCTAGCCAACCTCTTATCTCGATTGGACTGCTTCCTTCTTTCAGGTGCTTCCTCCTCCAGAGAGTTCACGACGTCTGTGCCCCCTGCTAAGTGGGTGGCGGCTATGATGTCTGAAGGCGCAACGGGAGCCCCTCTTCCGCCAGCTGCCAACCATGCAGAAGCCGGATGACGTACCTGCTCTGACAAAAAGTTATCATCCTTTGCCAATAACTTGAAGCACACTGACTAAGGATTGTTTTCGTCCCAGTCTAACGGAATTGGTCTGCCCGCCTGCAGGTCGACAATGACACCTCTCCGCAACTTTTCAAGTCGCTCAGCTCTTCCCTTATCATCTGCAAGAGCTATGAGCCCCCACGCCTGTGGCCAATGAAGCGTGAGACGTTCTATCAATTTCTCGTACTGCTGCAAGGCCGAGAGTGACACTATGCCCAGAGAGATGGCCGCAACTTTGAAGACTCGCCACGAAGCCATCCATTGCTGAAGGTTTTGGGGCCCGGGCAACTCCTTTACCAAGTACGAGCCGTCCCCCAAAGGCACATACCTATAGGACCGGGTCTACTTATACTACTTCAAGTTACTTTAAGTAGATGGCATCTACTTAACCTACTTAAAACCTACTTATGTTAACTTATGTTACATTTACTTTTTAATTGCTAACATAAGTAAAAATAAGTAGGTTATAAATAGAGATAAGTAGGTCTAAGTAGATATAAGTAGATATAAGTAGAACAAGGTTGAAAACCTTGTTTTTCCTGTTTTTGGCAGGTTACATGGAAAAAGTCGTTTGGAGCATGGATATAATAGAATTTAGGATAAAAAGTTGCTTGTGACATGCAATGTTTTCAGTGCAAGCGGGCACACCGCTGGAAGTATATATAGGATTTCAACCGGATACAAAAGACTCAACAAGATCAACAAGAAATAAAACAAGGAAAAGCGGACACACCGCTATACTATGTACAGGGATCATGCATGCAAAGCGGACACACCGCTGAATATCAAGTGGCACAGACGCAAAGTCCCAACTTTTTCATACCCCCAGGAACAGAAATCATTTGAAAGACGGCTCCTTCAAGACATCTTCGATCTCTGTGCAAATTTGCTCTACATTTTCGAGCAATGCAAGATCACACGGATCGCAAGACTTTAACTTCAGCAGCATCTCCTGTGCATTCTTCATGTTCAGCTTTAAAAAGTGAAGCTGGTAGACGTTCATCTTCAGGAGGTGTGTGAAGGGAAGCTGAGGGTACGCCCATCGAGTCAGTTCCTATATCGTCTCCAGGATAGCCGCATACTTTGACCTGGGCGGCTGTGATCATGCACCACAGATGCCCCAGGCTCTCCGTGTTTTTGTTGAGGCCACAAGTCAAGCACACATTGCGGAGCCACTCACGGAGGCATTCCAGCTTTTCTTTCTCTTCTTCTGACCAGGCTGCCATGGCCAGGGAAAGGGCTGAAGCCAAGTCCAAGATCCACAGAGGCGTCATACCCATCTTTGATGCTTCTGTGAATTGCTTGAGAACACAAATCCTGCAGGCCTTCTAAGATGAGTTGTCCGAAGACAAAACAGTGTGTTAACTTGACCAGGTTTTTACAGCGGACACACCGCTACATTGCCAGCGGTTGGCACACCGCTATAAGCAAACAACCATCGAACAATGGAACTAAAATTTTACTTATGGTCGTCAAAAAGCCATGTCCATGTCTTTGCACAAGTGGAACTGACTGAGGTCACTTTTCCACGTCATTGTTTCCGTCAACGCAAGCAAATCACGCCTTGGCCATCTTCTGTGTAGCGATACCAAGAAGGAATGGATGGTGCTGTTTGGACACTGACCCGATGATCCAAGATTTCATTCGTGACTCGCCAGGTTGTGCCCCAAATTGGTTCATCAACCTCAGCAACAGCGTATGCATACATCAAAAAACAGGAGCAGTCATGAAGTGCTCCAATGCCAGAACAACCGGAACCACCAAGGTAACGTATTGTTGTTGGAGCCAAGAAGCCAGATCCAGTTTCTTCAGCCGCACATACAGACCCAATTCGTCGCTGTGAAACCAGCGAATGACGATGCCTCCGACAGAAGGCCACAATATAATGTCGTCCTTCTCGACACGGCATGCGACCAGGTAGCAGCCTGATGGAAAAAGATCGATGTTGTAGAAAAGTATTTTTCTTGGATATAGTTCAACAAAATAAACAAAAATAAACGTAAGATATCAAATTCTAAATTGGAGGGATGAATTTTGAAATATGTATAGCGGGCACACCGCTTCTTTACACAAAGATATGATGGCCCAACCGAGACACGCTTACTTGTCTTCAGGTTCTGAGTGGTGAATGCAATCTTGTCATCCAGGCATGCATCTTCGATGGGCTTTAAAAGTTCCCAAAAGGGGAGGCCCTGCTCGATCAACTCGGAGCACGACACGTGCAGCAGGCGACTCAAACAGCTGGCACTGAATGAAGTAGGATCGTTGGTAAGGCTACGCTGCCTCTCTCCTATGCCGGCCTTATAGAGCCGATGCTTTGATTCCAGGGCCTCGCAGGACACTATAATTTGAAATGCCTTCCACTGCTCCGCCAAATGCAGTCGGTGATGATGTTTCGGTTTGCAACTGGCAGGGTACGCCTTTACAAACCAGTAGTGATGCAGCTTCTGAAGTCGATGAAATGTATTCAAACTTTCTGTGTCCAGTGTCTTGAGTTCATGGTATTTTTTCCGAATGAAGGCCACAATGGAGCCCATGCCACGAAAGGATTTGATCTCTTCCACCGACAGGGAGCGCAAGAGTAATGCTTCCATGTAGTACCACATCAAAGGGACAATGGCAGCTGTCTGGTGCGCCTGGCCCTTGAAGAGTTCTTCATTGCAGATCTTTTCATCAAAAAGAGCACGGATGTAAGTTTGAGTTTTACCACCCGATTTCAAGCTTTTCCACTGACATGCAAGAACTGCCTCCTGCAAAACTTCTCTTGTCACATTCGTCCGGGTATAAATGGCTTGAAGCAATAACGCAATTTCCCAGCTTGCACACCCGTTCGAGTAGTACGAATGCATCGTGTCGTACAAAATCCGCTCTGGCACCATTTTCTCCTTTTGATCAGACCAAAGAAGGCTATGGGTGTTGAAAACAATCCCAGAAGTCACTTCCTGTTCCTTCAAATCCTTCTTGCTGCACGGCTCCGCCATTTTTCTAGCGATGGCCCAAATCTCATCAGCCTGAACCTTCTCAAAACCTCTTGAGGCAGTGATGTCTCTAAACCAACCATCCTGCTCTGGTAGACCGGAATCCTTTTTCACCACATTGCTGCACCACAGACAGGGCCGTAAGCCCGCCGAACCTTTCAGTGAGAAAACGCCCCTGATCGACTCGTAGTCGCCAACATACCAGGCAGCAGAATGCTGACCAAAAAAAAGACCCGGCGCCAATTCAATCCCAGGAGGGTCAGTGTCGCTGATCAAATATTTGAGCAACGCGACCACCACTGCAGACACACCTCCTTCCAGAGACGCGATGGCGGAGCTTTGGATGGCAGCTACCGGTACCCAGCAATTGGGGTTTTTCAATCCATGCCACATCTCCCGCCAACTGAGGTAAAACAAACATGCCTTACGAGACTTGGTAACACTCAGCACATTTCCAGGCGTGCATTCATCTGCATAGACCAGAGGGGTCAAAATAGGGTTTCCGCCCAATGCCCTCCGAAAGGCTGCAGTCAGGGCTGCGCTTTCGCGACACAGCTTCTGCAAGCATGGCTCCAACTCCACAATGGGCAAGACCAACTGTGACCCATCATGGCGTTTGAACGCCACAGGGCGAGTGACCTCCTTCCAAGCACCGAGGTGCTGGTCTACATTACGCAGAAAGGTTCCTCGACTCATGGACTGCTCCTCCGGCTTGAAGATGTTCCATAACTGCCAAACTGCTCTATCCGATGCACTTTTCACCGACAATGCCTTGGTGATTTCTTCGTGGTGCTCATCAACTTCTTTTTTACGCTTGCCCTTGCCCATGCAGGCTCCATGGGACAGAGAAACCCGAAGGTATTTCGAAACGCTAAAAACATGTAATCAGCTCCCCTCATCACAACATGGTGAAGCTACTATTCCACACGTGCAAACAGGTATACAACCCCATGTTCGCATGTCCACATGTGCTGTCACTGCCGATGCTTAGGCCAAGAGGTTAACCATACACGCACGAAAGGATATATATAGATTCGAGGAAAGATATATATATATGTTTTTTTCCAAAGAGCAAATCTGGTCCTTGCTACAGCTTCTTGAGCGGTGACACCGCTATTCGAGAATGTTCATCGGAGACAGCCTGTGCAAGCTAAGCGGAAACACCGCTTTTCCCAAAAGCGGACACACCGCTAGACAAAATACTGACAGCAACAGCTAGAACAGAACAATGTCCCAACAAATGACATGCATCGACTCCTTTCCCCTTCCAAACATGCCGCTGCGTCTTATCACGCAGTGAAGCAACCTAGCAGAATTAAATTACACCTTTGATGTATCTGCGTTGCTAGACAAACGCAGTATACAGCTACATCTCAGATTAAGATGCACAAGCCATCTCACTTGGACGGCGCCTCACGCTTCTTGTCAGCCTTGGCCTTGGCCGTGGGCTTTGCACCAGAATTGGCTTTGGCGGCCGCCTTGGCTTCTCTCACTTGTGCTGCATGGAGGCTAAAGACGGCACGGACATCCTTCAAGACAGACTGAGCAGCCTTCACTCCGCTCTGCACTTCGCTCACCTATGTGCAAGATCAACAAGACGAAAACAGACAAAGACCCACCAGAAACCCATCACGGGACGGCTTTTGTCACTCATGTTGGAATCCAGCCTCACCACAGTTTCCGGCAAATTGTTCTCCTTCTGCTCCGGCGTTGCACTGATCACAGAGGTAGCACCTCATGAGCATAACGCGTTCAGACCACACAAGAGGTGAAAGGCAAACATATAAATATATATATATATATTATAGTTGTTGCTGCATGCACGTATAGTAGGTAGATAAAATCATACATATATATATATACAAATGTTTGGAGAAGCAAAGTATTATAACCAGGGGTCATGCATCGAAACTCAGCGGGCACACCGCTCACCCATTTGAACTTGAACATCAGAAGTCTAGGAACGGAGCTTATGACTGGTGAGCTTGGCGCTGGCTTCTGAAAGGCTCTTGACCAAGTCCTCCGAAAGCAGCCCAGGATTCTTCTGGTGCTTATCCATGCAGGTGGTCATGCTCGAGCACACCGAGTTGAGGCTGGCAATCACACGCGTGGCCTTGGACAGCTCCTTCTTCCAAGCAGCTTCCCTCTCACGCGCTGCCTTGCGAGCTGCCACTGCTGCGTCATCTTTTCCTGAAGTCTTCGGGGTCTTCGAAGTGCCTCCCTTGGCGCGTGGTGCTTCATCTTCTGAAGGAACCTCCCACACGTCATTTTCCACGTCCACAACTGGCTGGCCCTGAGCGACACTGGACCCAGAAGCCAGTGTGTCCGCAGCCCGCTTCTTGCCAGCCTTGGCTTTCTTGAGCTGCCACTCCTTCTCAGTCAACTCCTTTTCAAAGGTCCCTGAAATGTCCTCTGCTTTGATGGACAGAAGTGGTGCCGACCATGTCTCTCCGAAGACCTCCAGCTGCGTCGGAAACATGGGGATATGCAACCAGAATGCTGACGAAGGATTCTTTATGAAAGAATCTTTGTGCAAATACACATAAACTGACTTGTAGATATATATATTTAGACATGATAAACCAATCACTAAATATCAACCAGACATGAGCGGACACACCGCTTGTCAATAAGAACAGCGGACACACCGCTTCTTGAACAAAGCATTGGCGCCCAGACACGTCGTCATCCATCCTTTCACCACGAGCTTGGATGTCATCGGTATCGAATCCTTGCTGCTTCCACACCGACAGCGGTAGGAAGTCTTTGGTTACAGTGCGCTTCATCTGCTCTGTCTTGAAAGTGGTGTAGGACTTCACCACGTTCGCCTTCACCATTGACCAACGAGAGTTTCTCGGACAGCTAGCCAAGGCTTTGCCACTAGTGAGGAAAAAGTTTCGTTGGGCCTCCACCGGCATTCCAGTGAACTGAGTTGGCAGGCCACCAATATGCCTGTACAGCACCTGGTACAGGTTGGTGCAAGGTTTACAAACCATGCCAGTGCTGCCACGCTGCACAGCTCCACTGTCTACGGAAGTGCCTTCTCCACACTTCAGACAGGCTTGCTGAGCTGCACGTGCAGCTGCTTGGCTCTCAGTCAACTGAGTCTCCTGGAACTCTGCTGTCGCCATGGCACAAGCAGTCAGCTGTAGAGGTTTCACACTGGAGGTGGGCCCTTAAGACTGCGAAGTATGTCTCCCATCGTGTCCCCGAGAGCCCATGCAAGCAAGCCCCAATCTCAACAGAAGCTTGAAAAGCGAATAGATATCAGAGAGATATCACATAGATAGCAGAGAGATAGCACAGAGATAGCACAGAGATAGCACAGAGATAGCATAGATAGCAGAGATAGCACAGAGATAGCACAGCCTAAAAAGTATATAAAAATCATTTTGACAGTTAGATAGCACAGAGATAGCAGGCTAAAAAAATATATATATAAATCAGTTGGAGAGTTAGATAGCACAGAGATAGCACAGAGAGAGCAGAGCGTGGATGATTCATTCTGGTAGAGTGCTATAGGTCACGGAGACCAATAAAGTTTCAGCCGCTGGAAGGACTCGAAGCTTACTCGAGAAGAAGAACGTCAATGTAAGAGAGTGCAGCAAAGCAACGTGCAAATTGCACATGGCAACCCTATAGGTATGGCGGCCACACCGCCTGTTCAACCCAGTCACATTGCCAGACCAGCAGCGGTCACACCGCTCAACCACGACAGCGGCCACACCGCTATTATTCTTCTAAGAGCGGACACACCGCTATAGCGGACACACCGCTATAGCGGACACACCGCTATATCAAACAAGCAACGAAAGCCAGATAGCAAGAAGAGTCATGTGGTTATATAGAACACAAACCTTCATGCCTGTCGCATTGTGGAGCTGGTGCAGCTGCAAGGTCTTGTTTTCCAAGCGACACGGATCCCTGCATTGGGGTCGAGCGTTGCCAAAGCAAATTGCAGAGCAGCTGGCACACATCAAAACGCTACTTGATCCTACAGTTGCTTTTTTGCAGCTGGCCTCTTCAGAGACGCTGGCTTCTTCTTCACCTGGGAAGCCTTAGGCTTTGCCTTGGCCACCTGCTTGGCTTTTGCCTTCGGTTCGTCCACGGGGTCCGGAAGCAGAGCTGCCTCAGCTTCACTTGAGGAATCCGGTGGATCTGCAGCAAATCGAAAGAATTTGCTCATCGTGTGCTTCCATTTCTGTTCGTCCAAGACCTCCATTTGGTACAGAACTTGCAGGTCTCGGGATGCAGCTCCCGGGATGATCTCGTCGACCTTTTGCAGCACCTTGAACAGAAAGTCCACCACAGTTTCCGACCCCCGGTACTTCAAGCGGGTGAAATACCCGCCGCTCATGGCATAGCTCAAGGCCATCTCGCCACCCTCGCGTTCGACACGCAGCACCACGTGTCCCGGGGTGTACTTGGGCATCACCACCATCACTTCTTCAGCGCCCGCTGCCATGAAGACTCCATGGACAGACCCGGGTTCTTTGAACTGAAAGAAGCCATCGCTGACCATCAGCCACTTTTTGAAAGATCCCGCGCAGAGACCATAGCGCAGGAAAATCCTCAGAAGCAAATGACATGAAACATACACATAAGTGACAAACATGTCCATGCAGAACCATCGTCATGGGAAACCGAATTATCGCGATTGAGTATATCCCCATTCTCCTAGATATGATATAAATAGCTATACAGCGGAGACACCGCTTGCCAATTCGACAGTCCAAGTCTCTCTGAACCTCCCAGACGCAGCCTCTGGCACTGCTTGGGAGGCAAGTCTGACCATCGGGTGCACAGCAAGTTCAATGTGCTTTCCACATCGAAGCTGGCCGGCTGCTCGCAGCGAAGAGTGTATTGGTCCTTCAGCATAAAGGACATGCGGAACCCATCGACCTTCAGCGCCATGAGTCGGACAAGTACTAAATAGACCCGCGGAAGAAGAGAGAAGCCAAACTGCGACATCTTAAATGACATATATGATGCGTATATATGCAATACCCTTGACGTCTCATGTAAATGTATTTAAAATGTATTCATGATATATACAGCAAGCGGGCACACCGCTGCGCGGAACACCGCTGTGAGCGGTCACACCGCTACATGGCAACGAACAAAACGCACACCAAGCAAAAGAAACTGCAACAGTTCAAAACAACAGCAACTCTGCAAGTCCTTCTTTTGCCCGAATATCGAAAGCACACGATGCTCCAAGCATTCACAGATGGTAAGCCATCTATAGATGCAGCCACAGCATTGGCTTGTCTCAATCAACTCTTGCCAAAGACCTTGTCCACCTCACGCTGAGCAGCAGAGCGGGCCTTGCCAAGGATCTGGTCATACTTCAGGGTCTTCACCTTGCGGAACTTATTTTTCGCCTGGTGGTAAGCCCTGCTGTAGACGCACTCCCTGGTCATTTTCAGTTGCACAGCGACTTTCTGGTCCTTTTTCTTGGTGTTCTTGCTCGGGTGCTGCTTCTTTGAAGCAGGTTTCTTCAGCGAACTTTTCTGGTACGATTTGGACGCAGCCTTCTCAACCTTCTTCTTTTGGGTAGCAACCTCTGCTTTGGAAGCCGGTCTTTTCAAGACAGCAGGAGCTTTGGACTTGGACTTTGCCTTAGGCTTTGCGCCAGTTGCTGCCGGTGAGCTCCTCGCACGGTCGCGATCCTGCAGTGCCTGCCTCATGCGGTCCATTCCACTAGGCAAATTCTCCTTTGGGAGAGAGCTGCCTTCATCTGGCCCCGCTGAACCATCTGGAGAAACCTTTTCACCAGCTTCATCACGCTCCAAATCATGGAGGGCCTGCGCGGCCACATTGTCCTGGGAATCGCCGAAATCGCTGGAAGCAAAGTATAAAAGCTGGCATCCGTGCTTGGGGCAGAGGAAAGCAGGTCTTCATGCTTTGCACGTATATATGAATGGGCATGGAGCTACACAGAATATATATATATATAGATATATAGAGATATATATATAATTACACAAATGCCCATATATAAATAGAGATAACATGGATACACGCTCTGAGATATATACAAACACTTACAAATACACCTATGTGGAGGCACCTTTGACCTTCCATGGTAAACAACCAATGATCGATCTTATGGTATATCAATACTGCTTCATTCAATGTTCTTATTTGACGACATCCCTCGCAACAGCACCATGTGTTCAAGAGCCCGCCTGCCCTAATTAAGATAGCGGTGCAAACCGCTTCAACAGTGATTAAAATATAGCGGGCACACCGCTTCAACCATCACCCTCACAGGTTAGAAGAAGTCCTCAGGCTTCTCAGGTGCAGCTGCAGGGAGAGGTCTGGGCGCATCCTCAAGTGCAAGCGGCTGCTTAAACTCAGGTTGGCTGGGTCGACTCGATGGTGCAGAGGGTGGGGCCGAGGAAGCGGGAGTGGAAGCGGCACTCTGTCCCATTTTGAAGCACATCTCCATGAGCTTCATGTGCTCCGTCAGCTGCGTGGGCTCTGCTTGATTCCCCTGCGCATGTTCCTTGGACAATCTCAACTTGCTGGAACCCACGGCCATCAGAAGGTTGTCCACCGGCAAGCCTTAGATAGGACTGGACTATATGCACCATTCTATATGATTGGACGAAGCGAACGTGAACAAATACAATGCAGCGAAGGAACGACAGGGCTCTGGCTCCTCCGATGCGAACGCGCTGCAGTGATACTCAGCTGGAAGATCAGGAACATTGCAAGGGAGGCACTCTAAGTATTCCAAGTAGCACGTGTCAGCATCCTTCCCCTTGGCCATCTTAAACCGCCTCCAGCATTTCTTGAGCTCCTGCAAGTCCTCATAGCGCTGAAAGGTAGTCATCTGGCGACGTTCCGCTTTCACACCCAGGAGAAGTAGGTTTTGCAGCATGGCGAAGGTCGGTTCACTTGGGCATCGAAGGCCCAGAAGCCAAGCATGCTGCAAGAGCATGGACTGGCATCTTTCCCGAGGCAGGGCTTCGAAGCCGTTCCACATCGACGCAGGCAAGTAGGAGGCTATAGCAGTATAATTTTGCTGCTTGCGTCTGTCAGCCATGCTGAGCTATAAGCCCAAAATCCTGAGTAGTTGGGGTCTTTATGAGAGAAGGGCGCGTTCACTGACACGGAACATCTGTCTTGAGGGGTCTTGATGATGCTTATATAACGAACGTGTATTTTACATGGAATGTATATGAAGCCGACTTTGAAACACATCAAACCAACATGACATGAGCGGGTACACCGCTTGCACGACTACAGCGGGCACACCGCTCTGAAAAATATGCATCTATATATAAGATAAATAACACTTAGTCACCAGGAGAACCTCTTTCCATGTCCTATCTAAGCAAAAATGGCAGCCACACCGCGCTTTTTTTCCCCTATACCATTGTCAATACGGCTCCGGATTCCAAAGGTCCCGGTATCGACCCCCTCTGCTCCTCCACACGCCGAAGAGCCGCCATTGACGCTGTCTGGAGGATTCTCCTGGTCGATCTTCATATCTACCATTACCCGCATCTGCACCTGCAACCCGCAAGCACGATAAATTGTCCGCATGAGATCCACAAAAACATGAGTTACATCTACAGCGGATACACCGCTTCATAGCCCTCCCAGAACTATTTCTTACGCACACATCTGATGTGTATATTTATATCAATCTATCTATCTACCTACCTACCTATCTATCTATCTATCTATCTATCTATCTATCTATCTATCTATTATCTAAATCATGATACACGTCTGGATACATGGAAAAACTTTTTTCTTGACTCAATAAACATTGCCAAGGCACGAGGTCCATCATCTGCTAGACGAGCAGGAGGGGCCGCCTTGACCCTGCAGCCAGTTGTCTTTGGCATCGGTGGTAGCTTCGGCTGTGGTGGGCGATCAGGTTCCGGTGGTCGCATATGGCCAAAGGCTTTTGGCACTCCAGTGGTCGAAACCGTTGGCGACCCAACCTCTCCAGCCATCATAGAACCATGTCTGGATCCATCTTCAGTTGCTGTGCTGCTAACCGATGATCCAGGTACCGGAACATCACCACGTGCTCCAGCAATGGCTTCGTCTACATACCGACCATGAGTCGCCATAACCGACGGATCATCAACAAGGCCCGCTGCAGTCCTCATTAGTCGCCACGGCGCGGATCCTGCAGACAAGAACCCCGAAGTGGGTGACCACAGCTTCTTGGCTTTCAGACTACAACAATACATCCGTTGAAAATAAAGCTATCACAAGAGTATCTGAAAAGAAAGAGATATCAACATGTAAGAATATGCAAATCGACATGCAAAAACACAAGAGCGGACACACCGCTAGTGAACTCACATTGTATCTATTAACTACCAGCGGACACACCGCTATCTATTATAAAACCTATTTGATGGTCTTATAAATTTGATTTATCTGATTGCAACACAAACCATGATACAACAAGACCAAGAGATCTATCAGCAACATGCGATCCCAGTTCCAATTCCTTGCTCCTGAACCCGTTGCAGACATCTTTGCTGAAGTCTCCATCCCACTACCAGACCTAGAAGCAGAAGTTCTGGTAGATGGAGCAGGCAACGGTCTCTTTATCACTGTAACCATCTCCTCAGGCTGGCCACTCGCTGGCTCCGATGGAGCTGGCATCATAGGATTGGGAGGCGCCATGTTCTCAGGAGGTGCCTCTACCGGCACGCGATCCATCACTACCTATTTGCCTGAAACATTCTGTCTCTACTATAGGTGCCGACAAACTGTTCACCAAAAGCAAATTGGCTTAGGCATTTGCCATGTCGGTGTCTTCAATCGAGTGGTCATATCTTCGTGTTGTACTGCCTTTGACATAAACAACTCTGTCTACTGACCAAGTTTTGACTCCAGAACAGCCACCGGTCAACTTCTGTGACATATACAGCGAGCACACCGCTTCAAACCAGCACATGCAAAACAAAAACAAAGCGGGCACACCGCTGTTACAGTCTCACATGATATGTATCAAGGTGAAAAACAAACAATTCACAAAATTTTCACAAACAAACCAATGAAATTTCAATGCTGTAGCCTGTACTAAACACATCCATGAAAGAAAAGAATGAAAACCTAAAATGTTCATAATCATAAAAAAAAACATAAAAACTCAAGATATTTCAAGAAAAAAGAACAAACCAAACAAAAACCACAAAAACCAAAGAAAAACCATAAGTAGGTTAAGTAGATATAAGTAGATATAAGTAGAAGTAAGTAGAAACAAGTTAGTTAGCCAACTTAGCCAAGTCAATCTCCTACAGAGGCCAGACCTACTTAATGCTACTTTCTAAGAAAACCTAAGTAGCATAACTAAATGCAAGTTACTTAAAGAAACTTGAAGTAGACAAAACGAAAAACCTAGTTATGTCTACTTATGACCTACTTATAACCTACTTATGTTACTTAAAACCAATTTAAAACCTACTTACACATACTTATAACTAGGTTCAGTAGACCCGGTCCTAAAGGTATGTGCGGAACTTCTGACTCCGCAAGGCTCTTCGACCAAAAGGTGTCCATACTGAAAAATCGCAATAGGGCGCCTGCTTCAAAACGACAGTGCGCTTGTACAGCGCTGCCAGTTGCGCATCCGTAGCTTCTTCTTCTTCTTCTTCCTCAGGCGTTGATCCCATAGTCGTCACGTATCGTAGAACTCATTCCTGCACCTTGTCCGTGGGAGCTGGAACAAGTTCACTCTCATCAGATTGATCCAGCAACGATGCCATCTTCAGCACGTGCTCTTTCACCCCTGATGACCTTGTCGGTGGGTCTGGTACTGCCGGACGTCCTTGATTCTGGTTTCCCTGGTTCCGTGGGTTGTCCCAAGGTTCCGTGTCTATAAAGTCCTCCTCATTTCCTCCATTCTTCAGGAAGACTGTCTTCCTTGCAACTCGCCAGACCAATCCCACCTGTGTAGCGTTGATGGGATGGAAGGCAGTTCCATCTGCTAAGGTGGCAGCAGCACATGCCTGCGCCACGACAAAGGCCGGCACAGAGGCCAGGTGCTGCACGTTGGTGCCTGGGTCACCAACTTGTTGAATGAACCCCGCACAAACTGGAGCGGGAATTCCGATCAGCCATTTGAGGCCCTCCAAGTCGTCCGTGGCCAACAAATCGGCAGCCCGAGGGAGCATCAGCGCAAACGCGAGTTGCCTGACCTACATTTTAAATTCCCTCAGGGGCTGCCTGTTGAGCCTCTAGCTACAACAGGTACCCACCCTCCACCCTTAACTGCTTCGTTTCTCTGTCTAGCAGTTTGGTTCAAACTTTCAAAATATACAACATTATACAACTGACCTGGGTGTACACTTACCTTGAAAGCCCGCAGAGGTGACCACTTCCACCAGCCTGCCATGATTGCGCCCACGATCCTGAACTGAGATGTGAACAATCGAGTCAATGAAATAATGATAAAGAATGACAGATTTTCAATACTAAATATTGATATTTCAATATATTTCACATATTTCAATCTGAATTCAATGCATCAATACTAAATCAATACCATCAATATGAAATCAAAGGTTTTCAAAGGTGTTCCTTTCGAACCAAAAAAAAATCACCAAAACGAGTGGAAGGTCAACTTATATATACTGTAATTTCCCTGACATTGTTTCGCGTTGCAAAGGAGCTGAGTTCCCTTTCAAGTGTATCTGGATGCGGGTACTACCCCACTGGCTACACTAGATTCCAAATAGATTTATGCTGATTTATGTAATTTCATGACAGTTTATATACTGTGCATACTCTGAATATCACAACTCCGAGTATCTATCACATGTTGCGCTGTTTGTGTCTTCTTGCACCGTCCATATCTCGATGCAACGCTTTCACTTGTCTTTGGCCCTTGCTGGCTGAGGCCGGGACAAGCGGCCAAAGCGTCGTCTCACCATGCTCCATCATGCACATAGTTGGAGAGGACAACAGCCACTGGCAGTTGGATAATCATTTTACTTGCTTAATGAGGATTAAAATTATAATGTGTGTTGTTTCGAATCATGTCCCAGGGCAGGCCGGGCATGCATGTTTGCAATATTGTCTGGCTAACCTAATCGTGGGATTGGGTTCCAATTAAAGTTTGAGAGCCAATATGAGCCAATCAATATTTCACCGGCAGGCGGCAGGAGCAGTACTTGGCGCACATTCAACGTACCGGTCTGTCGTATTGTGTCATTCGGAGCATGTTTGCTAAAAAAACAAAGGCGATTGTCTCCGGTGACTATCTGTCATGGCAGCTGCAACTCAAAGGGTCAGTCAGGTTTACTTGTCAGTACAATCTGCGTATCCATTGAATCCACATCTGGGGAAACAAATCCTGAACACACAACGCCAACATCAAAGCAGGAAACTGCTTTTGTGAGGCGACCTCTGGTCGTCTGTTTGAGATCTCCAACATGACATGGGTCACCCACGGAACTGTGGAACTCTTGCAGAATCCCCTGGCACCTCTTGAGCCATGGGTGTCGATACCAGCGTGGTTGGGAATCGTTTCAAAATGTTTCAAGCACTGCAAGGATGTTCAACATTGTTTTGCATTTTGGGATTCACTGCAAACTCTGTTGGCTCGCTAAAACAGTGATATGAAACAGGCTTGACACCCAACTCCTGGCGGACTTGTTCTATAAATTGAAAAGCGCTCTTGAAATGCCTAACATGTGACATATGAATACAATTGAATACATCTTATCTGAGGTACAAGCAGGAAGCCACATCAACTGGTGGCGAGATGCAACAGCCAGCAAACTATCTAACACACAGTTGAAGTTTAAATAGCATGATAATATATTCGTGCGCTACGTGGTCAGTTCAGTTGACCACAAACATAAATTGATGGCACATTACTATTAATCAATATATTATACCTGCCGGGACCGGCAGTTAGAATATGAAAGTTGGGGATTTATCGAAGTGAATTCTCGCCGGCAACAAGATCGCCGCGGAAGGAATTTGCAGATAGAATATGCCAAATGTGGGGTGCAGATAGAATATGACAGTACATAGTATGTATGGCTATATGACTATATGACTATATGTTCTGTGAGTTTTTGAAGGAATTGACATAGCTGTTGAAACAGATGCGTATTTGGTGGCTTTGCTATGGAAACAATGCTTTTCGAACACAAGTTTTGTCGTCAATCTTTCTCCCTTAAAGTTGTTGGTTGGAGTGGTACAGACTGTTTTCTCTCTTCCTGAGTTCTTGTGGTGAAGAATGTGCAGCACCAGCAGCACCACGCAGAATACCAGCAAAATACCAGCAACCAACTTGTGTAACGCAATGTAGTTGTCACAATGTTTCTTCTTGTATGGATTCTGTTCTGGCTGCTGAAATAGATGCTGAAGTTACTGAAGTCTATCAACTTGTCGGAAACAAGTATAGTAGATTGGCCAAAGGTTCCCCTGAGGTTGGGGTGGTACGGTACGAACTTGTTTGTTTTTTTGTGAATTCTGGTTGTGAAGAAGTGCAATTAGAATATGGATATGTGTGGATGTGTTTTTTCCTCACTCACTTCACAACCAACACAAGCAGCACCATGCAACCATGCAGAATACCAGCAACCGTTTTCACCAGGTTTGTTCTTGCATGGGTACCATGGATTCTGTTTTGGTTTCGGACATGCCGAAATAGATGCTGAAATCCGTCAATTTGTCTCAGTCTCGAGCAAGTACAGTAGATTATGTTGGCCAAATGTTTATCTCGGACCTCGAGATAGCGATGGAGAGAGAGAGAGAGAGAGAGAGAGATTTCCCTTGAGGTTGGATGGTATGGGACAAGGCTCTCATTTTTTTTTTGTGAATGTTGGTGAATTCTGGTTGTGAAAAAGTGCAGTTTGAATGTGGTTTGCATACGGTCGAACCTTTTTTCCAAACATTCACTTCACCACCAATGACAACCACCAGCAGCACCACACAACCCCGCACAAACTACGAGCAAACAACTTGCACAACTTTCACCATGTTTGTTCTTGCATGGTTTCTGTCCTGTTTTCCAACACGCTGAAAGAGACACGTACGGTACGAGTAGATTATGTTGGAAAAAATCCCGAGGTTGGTTGGTACGGTAAAACTTGTTTGTACTCTTTGTGAATTCTGGTGGTGAAAAGTGCAGTTAGAATACGCTCTGGCGTACAAAATTAGCATATTCTATCTGCGTTCTCTTATTTTTTCATATTCTAACTGTCAGTCCCTTATGGTAATATCAATAAATTATATATGTCATATAAATGATTATAAATGATGATAAATGATTACAAATGTAATTATTGATCAATTGATCATATATCATAAGGTTATTGTGACTACAATGACTATTGCATACAGGCCTTTGTTGTGTTTGTTTTTGTGTGTTTTTGTTGTGCCATCAATCCTCAACAGGATGCATTGACTGCACAACTGCATTGAATTCTGCTTCCAGAGTCATGCCTTGCCTTGCACAGCAACTTCCTGGGCTTCGAAGGGGGGAAAACAAATAAGACGTACAGCATGTGGAAAAACAATGAAAAACTCTCAAACCCTTACAAACTTTCAGAATGCCTCTTTTTCAAGCCCAAGCCATCCCAAGCCCTTAGTTTAGAGCACTTCAAGTTAAAAATCAACATCGGATTGTTCGCATTGGCTTTTACGCTGACATGATGCTGTTGACCTGCCCTCAAGATCAAAAAGACTGCCACTTTCAAGGCTGTGGATCGAAGTGGATATAAACAGATGTAACTACCACTCGAATCCAGTCGACAGTTTCTGAAAAGTCCCGTTCCACCACGAAGCGAGTGGTCTAACAACCAGTGAATCCACTGATGGACCGCCGTACCTCAGTCGTGTGACTTGGCATGTGCACAATTTCAACTGACGTTGCGTCACACTACCAGCACTCGCACAAGTTGGCTTCTGTCATCCATACTCTAGGCTTTCAGTCTTCTGGACCCAGGATCCTCCTTCCGACTATGATCCCTTGGTTTTTGGCAAAGCTGCAGCTGTGGACATGCTGAAACCAAACGGCAGAGCATCATCGCCAGATAGGCTGGCCTCGCTGAGCCAAGAAATATGCCATGTGTATGGAAAGCATTGGAAAGCAACAATATCAACATGTATCAACAATACAGCGGATTATACACAATAAGTCAATCAGAATCACTAAGAAACTGAGTACAACTTTTACAACAACACGGTTCTCAATGACCCATCTACTGAACTCATCGACAACCAAATGGTTCTTGTTCGATTGTTCGTCCTTTCTGATCATGAACTTATGATTGTTTTATGATCCTTGTTACAGCTGAGATTAGTACCTGCGACTCATCAGCTTCGACGGCGGTCTCCAGTTCCTGCAGTTGAATCTGCCAGCCTTCACAAATCCTTCACAAATCCAAATTCTTCCAATGATTTCTGTGAAATATGTTATTCTTCTTTAATGTGAAATTATGTGAAATTAATAAATATTAATATGACTCATATGACATTATCAACCGTATTTAAACAACAGTTGGTGTCTCACGTCGTCCGGAGCATGCCACATTCCAGTCAACAAATCTTTCCGTGGCTTTCCGTGATCCTCAGATATCCTCGGCACCGGCACCCGTGTCCTTCAAGCAGTCATCGGTTTCTCGATCACCAAATGATGGCGTCTTTTTGATCATTTCTTCTTTCCGCTTGGGTGTCACGGGTGTCACCAGGCCCTCCTTGGCCTAGGATGTTTGCTCCAGCCGCATACGATCAGTACAGATTCATGCACTTCAGAACAGAGATACTCACGCCATCTACGACATCTAGACCCTAATCAGTTCTTTCTTTATATTGTGACTTGTGGTAACCAGAGAGATTGAAACCCAACAGTCACTTCTGTTCGGATTCTGCGACATGCAAACATGCCTCAAGTACCAATTATTTGCATGCATCACACTGCACAGCATTGACTTTCCGACGAGGAACGACTTTTTGCAGAATCTTTGCTGCATCTGCTAGTTTTGTCACCTACGACTCAATCCGTCAAGGCACAGTGTCAAACTCAAACAGGATCAAACAGGCCTTTATATATCTTTATATAATGGTTTCTTCTAGTTCTTCCCATCTCTGTCAAAGGAAAAGGAAAAGGCTGGAGTACATAGCTAAATTATAAAAGGGTTTACCTGGTGTACTGCTAGGGAATGTGAAAACATGTTTCAAAGCGAGTTTGTCATCAAACCTGCGCCGTAGATCGTTGCAGACAATTCTGAACATGTATCCTCCTTCGAATTTACAGTAACGACCTCTTGCCCTGATGCTTCGCAATGTTGAAGGATGTTGAAGTACGCATTGTGTTTGCAAAAAATGCCACTAGTTCACTGCAATGCGTGAACTGTACATAAGTTTACTTAGGAACCCGTACGGACATGTGTTTTTGTCCATATTGTTGTTTTTTAATGTTTTTTTCAGTAACGGACGCTTTTCTTGTTTCATTTCGCATCTGGGTTTTTGATTGTGAAGGGTTGTTCAAATCCTTTGACCCGCGCTCCAACATCCCCAAGCAGTCTCCCAAACAATTTCAACCCAAAATGGAGCAGATTGGCAGTCATGACACAGTCATGATAGCGTTGATCTGAATTCATTCATCCCGAAACAGCCACTCTTTGCAAAATATATTTTACTTTCGTAAAACTTTCGAGAACTCCATGTTTATCTCCTATGTGGGGCAACAATGCCTCTTATGAAGACTCAATCAATAATGATCATGGATTATTTCATGATAGTCTACAGTATACAGTAACCATGCCACTAGAATAGCGAAATCCGTTCTCAGAACAGATTGCTGCTTACTGGGTAAATAACTGATTACAGGCTTTGGCCATCCCCTTCAAAATGAACCTGGTCAAGGGATCATCCGCGCACGCAAAACAAGATCACATGTACACACAGAGGACCCTTTTCAGCCTTACGATCACCTGCGCACGCAGATGAAAATCACATGTACACACCAGCGCGCACACGATCACCTGTACACACAAGCGAGTTCATCTGCGCACACAGACGACGATCACATGTACACACAGCGATCATATATACACACAACTACTCTTAGACTCCAAACCATTCTACCAAACCATTGTCTCCATTCTACTTCTTTATTTAAACTTTACCCCCCCATGCGTTCCACCGAACCATGGTCACCATTCTACTTCTTTATTTAAACTTCCCCCCCTGCATTCCACTAAACCATTGTCTCCATTCTACTTCTTTATATAGACTTTACACCCCTGCGTTCCACTAAACCATTGTCTCCATTCTACTTCTTTATTTAAATTTTCCCCCCATGCGTTCCACCAAACCATTGTCTTCATTCTATTTCTTTATTTAAACTTTACCCCCCTGCGTTCCACTAAACCATTGTCTCCATTCTACTTCTTTATTTAAACTTCCCCCCCCTGCGTTCCACCAAACTCCTGTCTCGATGCTACTTCTTTATTTAAACTTTACCCCCCCTGCGTTCCACTAAACCATTGTCTCCATTCGACTTCTTTATTTAAACTTTACCCCCCTGCTTTCCACTCAACCATTGTCTCCATTCTACTTCTTTATTTAAACTTCCCCCCCCTGCGTTCCACCAAACTCCTGTCTCCATGCTACTTCTTCATTTAAACTTTACCCCCCTGCGTTCCACTAAACCATTGTCTCCATTCTACTTCTTTATTTAAATTTTCCCCCCCCTGCGTTCCACCAAACCATGGTCTCCATTCTACTTCTTTATTTAAACTTCCCCCCCTGCGTTCCACTGAACCATTGTCTCCATTCTACTTCTTTATTTAAACTTTACCCCCCCTGCGTTCCACCAAACCATTCTCTCCATTCTACTTCTTTATTTAAACTTCCCCCCTGCATTCCACTATAAAAACCATTGTCTCCATTCTACTACTCTTTCTTTATTTAAACTTTACCCCCCCTGCGTTCCACTAAACCATGGTCTCCATTCGACTTCGTTATTTAAACCTCCCCCCCCCATGCGTTCCACCAAACTCCTGTCTCCATGCTACTTCTTTATTTAAAATTTACCCCCCCTGCGTTCCACTAAACCATTGTCTCCATTCTACTTCTTTATTTAAACTTCCCCCCCCTGCATTCCACTATAAAAACCATTGTCTCCATTCTACTTCTTTATTTAAACTTTACCCCCCCTGCGATCCACTAAACCATTGTCTCCATTCTACTTCTTTATTTAAACTTTACCCCCCCTGCGTTCCACTAAAACAATGTCTCCATTCTACTTCTTTATTTAAACTTCCCTCCCCTGGGTTCCACCAAGCCATGGTCTCCATTTTACTTCTTTATTTAGACTTTACCCCCCCTGCATTCCACTAAACCATTGTCTCCATTCTACTTCTTTATTTAAACTTTCCCCCTCCTGCATTCCACTAAACCATTGTCTCCATTCTACTTCTTTATTGAAACTTCCCCCCCTGCGTTCCACCAAACCATGGTCTCCTTTCCACTTCTGTATTTACGCTTTCCCCCCCCTGCGTTCCACCAAACCATTGTCTCCATTCTACTTCTTTATTTAAACTTTACCTCCCCTGCGTTCCACAAAACCATTGTCACAATTCTACTTCTTTATTTAAACTTCCCCCCCTGCATTCCACTATAAAAACCATTGTCTCCATTATACTTCTTTATTTAAACTTTCCCCCTCCTGCGTTCCACCAAACCATTGTCTCCATTCGACTTCTTTATTTAAACTTCCCCCCCTGCGTTCCACCGAACCATGGTCTCCATTCGACTTCTGTATTTACACTTCCCCCCCCTGCGTTCCACCAAACCATTGTCTCCATTCTCTTCTTTATTTAAACTTACCTCCCCTGCGTTCCACAAAACCATTGTCACAATCTCCTTCTTTATTTAAACTTCCCCCCCCCTGCATTCCACTATAAAAACCATTGTCCGCCATTCTCTACTTCTTTATTTAAACCCCCCCCCCTGCGTTCCACTAAACCATGGTCTCCATTCGACTTCGTTATTCAAACCTCCCCCCCCATGCGTTCCACCACACCATGGTCTCCAGTCGACTTCTTTATTAAAACTTCCCCCCCTGCATTCCACTAAACCATTGTCTCCATGCTACTTCTTTATTTAAACTTTCCCCCTCCTGCGTTCCACTAAACCATTGTCTCCATTCTACTTCTTTATTTAAACTTCCCCCCCCTGCGTTCCACCAAACCACTGTCTCCATTCGACAGATAGATAGATAGATAGATAGAGAGATAGAGAGACAAATAGATAGACAAATAGATAGACAAACAGATACATAGATACATCGATACATAGATACATAGATACATAGATAGACAGATAGATAGATAGATAGACAGATAGATAGGATAGATAGGATAGATAGGATAGATAGGATAGATAGGATAGATAGGATAGATAGGATAGATAGGATAGATATGATAGATAGGATAGATAGGATAGATAGGATAGATAGGATAGATAGGATAGATAGGATAGATAGGATAGATAGGATAGGTAGGATAGATAGATAGATAGATAGATAGATAGATAGATAGGTAGATAGGTAGATAGATAGGATAGAAGGATAGATAGATAGATAGGATAGATAGGATAGATAGGATAGATAGGATAGATAGGATAGGTAGGATAGATAGATAGATAGATAGATAGATAGATAGGTAGATAGGTAGATAGATGGGATAGAAGGATAGATAGATAGATAGATAGATAGATAGATAGAGAGATAGATAGCTAGCTAGCCAGAAAGATGGATAGATAGATGGATAGATAGATAGATAGATAGAGAGATAGAGAGATAGAGAGACAAATAGATAGACAGATAGATAGACAGACAGATACATAGATACATCGATACATAGATACATAGATACATAGATAGACAGATAGATAGATAGATAGATAGACAGATAGATAGGATAGATAGGATAGATAGGATAGATAGGATAGATAGGATAGATAGGATAGATAGGATAGATAGGATAGGTAGGATAGATAGGATAGATAGGATAGATAGGATAGATAGGATAGATAGGATAGATAGGATAGATAGGATAGATAGGATAGATAGGATAGATAGGATAGCTAGGATAGATAGGATAGATAGGATAGATAGGATAGATAGGATAGATAGGATAGATAGGATAGATAGGATAGGTAGGATAGATAGATAGATAGATAGATAGATAGATAGATAGATAGATAGATAGATAGATAGATAGATAGATAGATAGATAGATAGATAGCTAGCCAGATAGATGGATAGATAGATGGATAGATAGATAGATAGATGATAGATAGATAGATAGAGAGATAGATAGCTAGCTAGCCAGAAAGATGGATAGATAGATGGATAGATAGATAGATAGATATAACTTACATTAAAGACGTTTCCTATTCGCGTGTAGTTGCGATCTTGGCCGCACAGATAGCCTGCTTTCACCAACTTCCACGCATGGTTGCAGATAGACACGTCACATATACCACAAGTCTCTATTTTCACGTGTTTTTACAAGGAAAAAAGAGACATATCTTATTCGCATGTAGTTGCGATCTTGCCCGCGTGTACATGCGATTTTCTCCCCTAAGTCGTTCGCGTGTACATGCGATTTTTTATTTGCGCGTACATGCGACCCCCCGACCCGCTCCTTCGCGTATATAATTTTCGCGGAACTTTCGGGGAAAACATCCCTATTGAATTTACAATGATGATTCATAAAAACATTTAACAAGTAATTTTCGCGAAACTTTCACGAAATAAATTTTTACGTTCACGAACTTGAAATAGATTTCGCGAGGGTTCAAGACACAACACGAACAGTCTTTGCAATCATAATTCTTTACAATAAGGACTTTTAGATCAATCACCATGTAGTCAATGTAGTCTTCTAGATGCGCCTCAGTTTTTCCATTTTTTGTGCATTCTTTCATCTCAAGTTGTTTCCGCGCCAGCGCCTCAAGTGCGGGTCTAATTACAGTCGAGGGCTGAAGTCAGAGCAATTTTCTTGAATGTGGACAAACCGCTTGCGGAAAAGTTGCCACGACCGGGTCACAGCAGGCAGGGTCACAGCAATCCATCAAAACACAAGGGGATTGCCTTCGTTTGAAGGATACAAAGTACCAGCATAACAAACACGAGAGAACCCACCCCTCGCACTGCAGACTACTCTTCTGCCAGCACTACTTTGCATTGCAAACAATCATTCTGTCAGAATGGTTTGACTTGAGGAGTAAGACGGAGTGAACAAAGGAAACAATGAAAAGAGAAGAAGTAACAGTAACAGTCTGTGAGAAAGAAAGAGAAGAAGATAAAAGAAGGAACAAACAAAGAACACAAATGAAAACAAGTGCTGAAAATACAACCGAACGACCCCCCGAACGACCCCCGAACGACCCCTGATTCATGAGTTGACCATGGACCATCATTGACCACAACACACCCCTGCTTCATCCCGAACCATCAAATAAAGAAAATGAACGTCCCTCCCATCCAACAGAGGTATGTAAGAGGAATGACCAAAGGGACGTTTCCCCTCTGTAAGCTAAATATGCTGGAACAACCTCAGCAAATAATATATATATATATATTATATTATATATATAATATGGTCATCCAAGAACCCAACGGAAATACATGGATTTGACCCACAAAAGCCTCTAAAACCACTCAACAAATCACTGCAAATCTCATAGGCACAGCCACAATCGCTACGACCCCCTGAAGAGCTTCGCCCAATGGTATGGACTCAAATGCAAAGAATCGCTTCGACTTTGACCCTTGACTGTATCGTGACTCCTATGGCATGTGCATTTGATACTGTGGCAGCCCACATCAATCCGCATCAGTCCACCAATATCCAATATCCACCAATGCAGCGGCAGGTGTTTCAACTTTCGGTGCCTTGATGTCGAAGTGCTGCTTTAGTGGCTCTTCTTCCTGCTTCACCACCAGATCGTCCAGGCCTGCGGAAGGACATCGCATATATAGTATGACTATTGTTTCAACGACTCCTAGCTTTCTTCAGGGAGATGTACAAACAGTGTGTACAAACTGAAAAAACATGTCGTCGTGGTTGAAACGGCCATTCTTTGCGAAAACAATATGCTACTCTCACAGAACTTTCGTGAACTCCATGCTTCTCTTTCGCGGGACGCATGTGGGGCAACAATGCCTCTGATAGCCTTGCAAACATGCAGCTAGCATCACAAAATCACTTTCCAGGACAAATGGCTGCTTATTCAGTGTATGATTACATGTTTACAATATAAAATGTGAGTGGGTTATGGCCCCACTGGTCCCACTGCTGTACTTGTACTTGTTAAAGTTGGCCCCAGCAGCAGCAGCGCAATTGCGGACTCTTTTCCTCTGTGCTCGGACCGTGGGTAGCTTGAGCCAAACAGCGGAGCAATGATCACAACTGGCTTCCACTGTTGGCATGGTCCTACTCTAGTGTGGGTATCCTCTGGCTTACGTATGATTCACACCCCCCATGTCTGGCTCACTTGATTTGCCAGACACCGGAGTAAACGCCAGGGTTCCAAAGTTTACCCACCACGCGAATTAAAGCTGTACTGTGCAAAAAAAAATGATGTGAGTCCTTCTGAAATCTGCAGGTGTGAAACGCAGATCTTTACCGCTGGCACTGTGCATGAGGGTGACAATCCTCGCAGGGTCTGTGATGCCGCCGAATATACATCACATCCCGTTTGATTTATAGTCACTGACCGCGGCAATCACCAATGCAGCCGGATGGCCTACATCGGATCATGCAATCCCCAATAATGCCGCCGAATGGCCTACATTGGTTCATGTACGGTCCTGATACAACACTGTAGCTAAGGAAAATTCGGGACTCACATGACACATGACTGAGGTCGCCCACCTCAGTTCATATCCAAAAGTCTGCCCGTGCCCGGAGACCGATATACGTGATCTCACATGCACCAGCAGCGAAATTTTAATTATTCCGGCTCTCGTGCCACTCTCAGTAGTGATCCACCGTGACAAAGTTCTCAGCGTCGGCGTCTTTTGGTCGTGTCTTTGCTGCTCGCCGCCGCACCACCTTCTTGACCTGCTTCTCCAGGAACATTGGTGATCGCCCTCACATACTTGCTGATGTTGTTCCAGGGCCCTGGGGCCCTTTTTGATTGACAGTCAGTTGGCACAAGCGAAGATAAATCAGATCCTTTTAACTTTTAACTTTCGATAACATTGGTGGCAGGTGTCAGCACTTCCGGATTAAATCCATTCTGACATTATGTATTCGGACATTCAGTTCAATGATGAGGCATGCTGTTTCCTAGTGATCGATACTGATTCTGACGTTGTTTCGACATGTATTCTGAGACTGACATTAATAAATATGTTTCACATATTTTCAATAGATCAATAAATATGTTTCACTCCAGTCGGCTTAGGGCCGCTGTGGCAGTCGGCACAAAGCCGCCGCTCATGACAGTCGGCTTGAAGCCGCCGTGTTGACTCGAGCGGTGCGAATCTTCTGGGCCAAATGATTCTAGCCAAGAATTGTTCACCAATGGCTTGGGAGCACCACGAGGATGAGACAACTCTCAGTCACATGAGCCATACCGATCGACTGAGAGAGCTCTAACAAGCGATTTTTTTCCACCAAGCTCGCCGTGTTGGCTGGCTATCCCTTACCCAATAGACTCGCTAAGGCAAAAAAAATCTAATCCCTATTCTGTAGAAATCTGACTATTAGGTAGATTTTTTGTCTAAGACAACTATTTTTTTGTCTAAGACAATTTTTGAAAATTTGTCTTAGACCAAAAAAAGTTGTCTTAGACAAAAAATGTCTTAGCCATTTTTTGTCTTAGACAAATTGAAACTACATCAGATTTTTGTCAAACTGCATCAAAACTGCCTCCAAACTACCTCCAAACTACCTTGTCATTCTTCCATACTTTTTTGTGAAATTTCAATTGTCTTTGGGCCTATTTTGCTACTACTGCTACTATCACTGCTTATACTACTACTACTACTACTACTGATAGTGCCCTGACCTTTGGATCCCGGCAGGACCAGCATAGCCACGACCCTTTCCTCTTCGATCCTCCTCCACTGCTCGGGTGGTCGTGGATATTTTTGCGATCCACTGGAACCCATGTTGGCTTCAGGTCAAAGTGCCACGATGGGATAGAGACCTCGAAGATCGGCAAATTGGCGACTTGCGTCGAGGTACGTCGCATAGGCCTCTTCCAAGGAAGGATCTGGTTCTGCCTCTTCTCCATCAGGTCCCAAGTAGTTGGCTTCCTCACCCTCGGCCATGCTGATCTCCTCCCAACTGTCTCCACCATAGTTGGAGGGATCGTCATCCTCCTGGCCGTAGGCGTCCTCACCAACGTAGGACTCATCAAACTCCTCGAAGTCTTCCACCTCGTAGATCTCTTCAGCCGCATAGCCATATGCTGTCATTGGTCTCCAGGGATGTCCACGATGTGAATGGCGATCGCAACCTTTGACCCATTTGCGGTCATCACCAGAGCGACCCTTGTAGTCCTGGCCCAGCAGGAAGTACATGTTCTCCTCGATCTTGTCGGCAGCAAGGCTCGGCTCCCTCGATTGGATGAGCTGCTTCTGCTCCAAGGTCAGGCCAGACCATCTGAACAACAGCCATCCCACCACATTGTCCGGGGTTTTGATGCCATGCTTCTCCAACTGTCGAAGATCTTCTCGGTGATCCGCGCAGTAGGCCATCAGCCCTGATCAGCGTCTGGTCGCTGCGCCGTCCCATGGTGTAAAAGAACTTCTCCAGGGCCCGAGGCATCTCCACTCTGTCGTCGTACTTGAAGGCTTTGTCGAGGACCGCCAGGACCTTGTCAAAGCCGTCCTTGTCCTCGATGTAGGTCTCCACATTGTGCTCCACTTGCTTCCATGACACCCCTGACAAGGATGTCAGCAAGTTGATGACAGCCTCCTTCGATTTCTTCCGGTACAAGTTGATCCGGGATCTCCACTCCTTGTAGTCCCCTGGGCTAGTGTTGAAGATTGGAATGTAGGTGTCCTTAGGCGTAGGTCCATCGCGGCTAGTTGCGCCTCCATCACCAGTGGTCTTCTTTGGCACCATATAGCTCACAACCTTGATCTTGTCCAGAAAGCAGACCAAAGCAAGAAAGTTGGAGTAGGCCAGAAGGAATGTGAAGTCAAGAACGTCGAAGATGTCCAGGGCGAAAGCTCAGCAGCAGCTCCAGGTCAAAGTCCAGGAGGCAGGGCCCAGCGGAGACTCCAAGTCAAAGTCCAGCGCGTAGGGCTCGAATGCAAAGTTCCCTGGCAGCTTGAGCTCAGATGAGCTCCGCTACCAATCTTGGTGTAGCAGCGGGAAACACCAGTCAAACCACCACTCGAAGTGTGGCCCAGCTATTGCAGCAACGGTGCGCCCTTTTGCCAGCCAAGGGACGCAAGGCGTAGACGTATCGCCGTATCGGCTTAGTCCCTAGGGCACCCTTGTTCCCTGTGAACATTGGTGCCAGAAAGGCATATTGGGATATGCATATGGTGAAAATATGTAAAAACCCATGTTGTGTATTACGCAACTCACACTCACACTTTGATTTTTCTTCCAATGGAGGCTGTCTGTACATGTCTGTACAGCGTTGCACTTGTGTTGCACAGAATTGACCAGCCTGGACAGTCTCGCCGTTGTGTTTTTTCAAAGCGGGAACTCAGTGCGTGCAAACGCCTCGAGCTCAAAGGTGGATTCAAGAAGGTGCTGCAGAATGCAAGAACACAAATTTATGACATGTTTAGATTGTAGATGGCAGCTACATCCACTCCGTGCATACTCCGTGCATGCAAGCAGCTGTTCTTGTGTGTCCAAGTTCCTTATTCTATGCTGCCAGCGGGTCCAGGGCAAAAAAGGCCAAGCACAGCCACTGATCAACGTTGCTATCAACTGTGGTGACATGTGGTGACAAATGCAAATACTAAACTTGTTAAACATCGCTGGGACATGCTGAAACCTGTTCTGAAAGTCATAGTTTCGTCCAATTTGATTTAACACAAAAAACGAAGAATCATAATCGGAAAACAATAGGTGACCTGTGTCGAGTTTCAGATTCTGGGGTATATGTTCTCGGACAAAGCAAATGGATCAGTTCAAACGGTTTTGTTCAAAGCAAGTGGTGAAATGATGGTAAATTCGGATTGTGACATACATTCATGAGCCCCATGAAGTCCAAAAGGGCAAATGCAAGGGCTTTCACAGGGCTTTCAGTCGTGGAACGTGCGTGTCAGATCCAGCCGAACTTCGAAGGCCTCTGTTTTGGCCTAAGCAAATGCAACTGCCAGCTGTATATCAATGTGACCTCTCACATAGCCGATGCCATTGTTTGGGCTTCCGAAATCATTCCGCCATATTAATGTGTCTACTAAAAGCATCTCAAAGCCGCAAAACAATGCAAAACACACAATCAAAAAATTATCAAAATGTGAGCCTCAACTGCATCCGAGGAACACTGCACTCAGCTGCTTGTCGTCCCAACAATTCCAGCTTATTGTTGATCTCTGGCAATGCCATGGAAAAATGACGCAACTGCCTGGGGTGACATGGCCGTAAGTGACTGTTTCGTTCAAAGGAAAACAAATTAAATTAAGTAGGCATATGACATAAATGAACAAATAACGACCAAGGCTGAAATAGATACAAATTAACAGGGTCTGTAGACATCTGGGAAGATTCGTCCCACCTGGTTGACCAATTTAAACAAAACAATCTTGAAACGCCTAAAGCAGTCACGACAATAAAAAGAAATGCTTGCGTTACAAGTACCTCCGTGGTCGTGAGGGCTGAGCCCTTGCTGTAGATGGCCAACTAAATGCGGTGTTGCACAACAATCGACAGCCCGAGACAGATCAAAACCCCCGCAATACTGGATTGCAATACAATTTAAGTGCTCATCTAACAGTACAAATGTTTTCGCTACCCACAAGTCTCAGAATCAAACAAAAACAACCTCAACAAAAACATGTTCTAATGAATCTCTGAATCTCTTTGGATTTTTGACTTTCTCTAGCAGTTACAGTTAAAGCAATGAAGCGGAGCACGTCAGCCGCTGTTCATCCAGTAGTTCTGAGAGGTCATCCAAGCGCCGGCGGAGCTCCCCAATGGCTGGCCAAACAGTTTGGTGGCGTCATGTCTCGTCCATCATCGGTGTCATGACTGTCGTCCCACGTCACTCAGTATGCATATCGAAGGTTATCGTTATCAAAGTAAAGTGAGTGCTGGGCAAATTTAATCATTCAGTGCCGGGCAAAAAGCCAGAGGGTTTCCAGCTCACCACTGTCCTCTTTAATCTCTCACAATGCTGACTCGATCACAGATCACTCCCATTGTCCACCTGCTTCACAAATCTCTTCCTTCTGAGGCTCCTGACTCGGAACGCAAAAGGTGATTGCAAAGGTTGCTTAAAAATGATTGCAGTTTAGGCCTTTAAAACCATTTAAAATTAAGCTTTCAAGACACAAACGTTGATGTGCAGCTAGCGACATACACCACTGTTACTGGTTTGCTGACATACCGGATGAAGTCGCTCCACAGCTACATTGGGAACGATTTGGGTGTCTTTTCAGATGCTTCAGTTTCGCAGGGCACAATCAATACTGACAATACTGTTTTGAACATTTTGAACTTATAAACGCAAAAAAATATATACATCGTTCTATATACATGTGTGGATCTGTTTGGCCTTTGGGACGCCTCCCAAGACTTTGTTTCGCCGCAAAAATAGGATCGTGGAACATGTTTTTTTTTTCGCCGCTTTGTCAGGATTTCTTGTATCTGCTCCTGCACCAAACTCCCCTCGAGTTCACGTTCATTCAGCCACCACAGAAACACAGCATGGACAAGTTTTGATTTGAACATCGTTGAAGGTTTCCTACAAGAACCCAGACAATTCCTTTCAACTAGCTGGCTTCGTAAGCCTTGACAGAAAGGTTTTTTGGATGAAAGAGTCGTTTTTGGACAAGATGGTGATATGCCAGACTTCTTCATTACAATCTTTGGCTTCGAGTAAAGACTCAATAATTTCTACACACATTTGCAAACTATAATTTTTGTTCTAAGGGCAAACACAATAGTTTGAACAAACACATATAAAACTTGAAACTGGTTTGCAGCCATCGAGCACATATATAATATATACGTGTACATTGCCATGAAACACATTTTGATAATACAAAATAGTATCAAATCGAAACTCTTGAAACGCGAAGGGTTTACACTTGCTGACGCCCATTTGCACACACACACACACTTTGGAACACCCCGAAGGGAGAGACGTGAGATGAGATGAGATGAAAAGTGTCTGATATCATCATGTAAAATTCAAGACTTCAAACTAATCCCAGTTAACAAGAGCATCTTCGGCAAAACATGTTGATAATTGATGTGAATGTGCAAACAACTTCGGCGAGGCGGTTCTTGGCTTAGCCGCTTGCCATGAGGACGAAAATGCTGACGAAGTTCACTGTCGAGTCTACGTAATTGAAAACCGTAATGTTGCAGGTACGCAGATTGGCGTCCCAATCTGTATCACCAGATCAAATGGGTGTCTTCGTTGGTAGCGGTCCCAAGTGATCTGCCGCTACCCCCTGCTAGTGATTGTTGGTATTGATACCCTTTGTTTCAGGGCTTCTCACACACAACAAGCCGCCCGGGCAAGTGTTTTGGTGATCGCGTGCTCGCGTTTGTCATGGTTTTGAACGTCATCCCTCGGTGCTGAAAGTGGCCCTTGAAAAGTTAGCTAACGTTGATACAATGCGTGCCTGTATAATGAGTTAATGAAATAAAGGGCTGATCGGCAATTGTGCCAAAGATGTCATGGCTATGGTGTCGAATCGAAATTCCGAGTGAAACATACCTCGGACTGAGGGGAGAAAAAGTCGTTTCAGGTCAATTGTTTGGAAGTACAACAAAAAATGGGTGATGTTGGTGACACACATGGTTGAAAAACATTAGGGTTCACTGTTGAGTAATGAAACCGACTGCCCCTGAAAATGGTTGAAACTCTACCCTCGTTGCCGGCGGTGATACTTCAGCTGGTTCCAAGTGCAACGCAACTCATGTATGCTATGACAATCGGTTAAGGGATCAGGAAAGTAGATCACTTAGAGCAACGGATCACTTAGAGCACCATGGGATCACATAGAGCACCAAAAAGTGGATCACTTAGAGCACCAGAGAATGAGACCTTTAGGGTAACACTTGGGGACATGGGGTGCGTTTAGGGGACAAGTGGGGGCATGGGGCTGGGACATGGGGTGGGTTTATAGGGGACCAGCGGTGGAATGAGACCTTTAGGGTAACACTTGGGGACACGGGGCTGGGACATGGGGTGGGCTTAGGGGACAAGTGGGGACACGGGGCTGGGACATGGGGTGGGTTTAGGCGGTTTAGGGGACAAGTGGGGACACGGGGCTGGGACATGGGGTGGGTTTAGGGGGACCAGCATGGTGGATTACATTAGGGGTTTGACTTGGGGACACGGGGCTGGGACATGGGGTGGGCTTAGGGGACAAGTGGGGACACGGGGCTGGGAAATGGGGTGGGCTTAGGGGGACCAGCATGGTGGAATGGGACCTTTAGGGTTTGACTTGGGGACGGGGGCTGGGACACGGGGTGGGTTTAGGGGACCAGCATGGTGGACTACATGAGAGCACCAGGGAATGAGACCTTTAGTCGCACACCAGTGTGACGAAATATATGAAATACAGAAATGAATCAATTAAAAAAAACAATATATATATTTATGAATGTATATCATATACTGTCATAGATGTCTCAAGGATATGCATGTTGAAGGTGCTCACGCTAGCTGTCTCTCATTTTCACTTCTCATCTGCGCGACATCCTTGTTGTACACCTGTTCAGCGCAGTTTTGCCTTGGATGGCAAGTAACTTGCAAGCCGTTCCTGATAGGTTGTAACATCTTCGTCAAGTAGCTTGCAAGACGTTCCTGATACGTTGTAGCATCCTTCAAGTAACTTTCAAAATGTTACTGGTACGTTGTAACATCTTCTTCAAGTAATTTGCAAGACGTTTCTGCTACGTTGTAACATATTCTTCAAGTAACGTGTCAGATGTTCCTGATACGTTGTAACAACTTCTTCAAGTAATTTGCAAGACATTCCTGATACGTTGGAACAACTTCTTCAAGTAACATGCCAGATGTTCCTGATACGTTGTAGCATCTTCTGTACGTAATTTGCAAGATGTTCCTGATACGTTGTAGCATCTTCTGTACGTAATTTGCAAGATGTTCCTGATATGTTGTAAACTATTCTTCAAGTAACTTGCCAGATGTTCCTGCTACGTAGTAACATCTTCTTCAAGTAACTTGCCGGATGTTCCTGATACGTTGTAACAACTTCTTCAAGTAACTTGCCAGATGTTCCTGATACGTTGTAACATCATCTGTAAGTATATAATTTGCAAGACGTTCCTGATATGTTGTAAACTCTTCTTCGAGTAACTTGCCAGATGTTCCTGATACGTTGTCATATCTTCTTCGAGTAACGTGCAAGTTGTTCCTGATACGTTGTATGATGCTCTTCCAGCGCCGAAAAGCGGATGGCGTGGAATGTATATCTGCGTGCATCTGCCCATGTGACTACCTGCGTGCTTCAGCGACATATGAATGCACACATTTATGTGTCTATATGCCTCTGTGTATATATATATATAATATTATATATATATGCAACTCTAGCGCTATGTATCTCTTATGTTGCTTTTCGGCGTTGCAAGAGATTCACTTTCCGGAGCTCTAAGCGATTCACTTTTCGGCGCTCCAAGCGAACCCCCGACCATCACAATCGTTCAAGCAAGTCATGACAAGTGTCTTGGTGGTTGTGTTTGAACTGTTTATGCTGCTGCTGCTTGTCATGTGCTTGACATGCTTGTGATGCTTGTTGAAATGCTGGACATTGAAGTGCTGCATCTTGAGGTGCCGGTTGCAGAAGCTGGCGCTGGTCAGAGATGTGCTGGAAGTACATGTGCTGGTGCTGTTGGCTGATGTGCTTGAAGTAGAACATGCCGTTGTGCTGGGAGTTGTTCAGGTCAGGCTTGAAGTGCTTGTGCTGGAAATGCTTGGTGCTGATTGATGTAATTTTGCTGCTTGTTTAGGTGCTGGTTGCGGAAGTGCTGAAGGTGCTGGTGCCGGTCAAGGAAATGCTGGAGGTACCTGTGCTGGTGCTGTTGGCTGATGTGCTTGAGGTAGAGGTTGCCGTTGTACTGGTAATGGTTCTGATTGTGCTTGAAGTGGTTGTGCTTGAACTGTTTATGCTGGAGCTGCTTGTTGATGTGCTTGACATGCTTGTGCTGCTTGTTGAAATGTAGGAAATTGAAGTGCTGCTTCTTGAGGTGCCGGTTGCAGAAGCTGGCGCTGGTCAGAGATGTGCTGGAAGTACCTGTGCTGGTGCTGTTGGCTGATGTACTTGAAGTAGAACATGCCGTTGTGCTTGGAGTTGTTCAGGTCAGGCTTGAAGTGCTTGTGCTGGAATTGCTTGGTGCTGATTGATGTACTTGTGCTGCTTGTTTAGGTGCTGGTTGCGGAAGTGCTGAAGGTGCTGGTGCCGGTCAAGGAAATGCTGGAAGTACCCGTGCCGGTGCTGTTGGCTGATGTGCTTGAGGTAGAACTGGCCGTTGTGCTGGTAATGGTTCTGATTGTGCTTGAACGGCTTGTGCTGGAGCTGCTTGTTGATGTGTTTGACGTGCTTGCGCTGCTTGTTGAGGTGCTGGAAGGTGTGTATGGTGCTCCCAATGTAATGCTCGGTGTTGGAAATGTAGATGTTGAGCCCAGCTGTGCCAAAATGTCTGCTATGACAATCGTTCAAGCAAGCCATGACAAGTGTCTTGGTGGTTGTGCTTGACCTGTTTATGCTGGAGCTGCTTGTTGATGTGCTTGACATGCTTGTGATGCTTGTTGAAATGCTGGACATTGAAGTGCTGCATCTTGAGGTGCCGGTTGCAGAAGCTGGCGCTGGTCAGAGATGTGCTGGAAGTACATGTGCTGGTGCTGTTGGCTGATGTGCTTGAAGTAGAACATGCCGTTGTGCTGGGAGTTGTTCAGGTCAGGCTTGAAGTGCTTGTGCTGGAAATGCTTGGTGCTGATTGATGTAATTTTGCTGCTTGTTTAGGTGCTGGTTGCGGAAGTGCTGAAGGTGCTGGTGCCGGTCAAGGAATGCTGGAGGTACCTGTGCTGGTGCTGTTGGCTGATGTGCTTGAGGTAGAGGTTGCCGTTGTACTGGTAGTGGTTCTGATTGTGCCTGAAGTGGTTGTGCTTGAACTGTTTATGCTGGAGCTGCTTGTTGATGTGCTTGACATGCTTGTGCTGCTTGTGGAAATGTAGGAAATTGAAGTGCTGCTTCTT